GGCTGAATGATATGGTTCTGATGTTCACGTTTATGTTGTGCTTTAAGTAAATATGAAATGACGATCGGTTCACGTGCCGCTTGAACTGAAGCACTACAGCGATCAGTCACAACACATTAAATTGCCACAAAATGGCATTTGTTTGAATTTCTTAAAAAATGACACAATTTAAAAGCTGAGACCTTGTTTCATACCAGAAGTAACCTGCTCTTTCTTGTCTGTCGGTGTGTTGTCAGTTTCCTCTTTGCTGCACGATGTATTTTTCACTGCATGAGAACATGATGTGTAGTGTGAGAGCAGCATGGCTTGTCAGACATAGCAACAGTAACTAAGGAGGTAGAGTTTTTGCGAAGGGTTAATTTATAAATAATACTTTGAGGCTGGTCCAAAGTGCAAGTAAATAACTGAAAAGCAGAATTTTCATTAGTCACCATATCAAGTGTTATGATTTCTCCCATTCATTTTTTACAAATGGTCCATCTCCTCTCCCTTACATCGTCTATAAATATTTCTTCGACATTGTGGGAAATGGTTATAATTTTGAGCATTGTGTTACAGCGTGTGGCCAGCAGACAATGTGTGTCAGAGGTAACGCTGTAGCATGATGTTCAATGCATTGGCAGATGTTGATGCAAGTCATGTGAAAGGAACTTCATCTCCTTTGGTCTACAACAGGCGTCTTCAAACAAGTTCATTAGTGACTTGTTGGATTGCAGAGGCCAAGTTTTATAAAACAACAATGGAAGAACTAGTGAAATGAAAGCATGTATGTTGTTTCTTTATCAACGATTGGGTCTTCCAGAAAGCACACAAACATATTACCATGGGCGCACTATTATTATTCAGATCTCTAGTGCACTGTAGCTTTGTTTTGCAAAATGAATCGATGGATGTAATCAATACACATGATTTTTCACACCACTGTACGACATAACACAGTTACGAGGAACTTTAAGCATTACAGCAAACATCTAAATGCAAAGAATCTCAGGAATGAAGAGGGGTGATGGTTTGAGAGCTCGTTCTGACCCCTTTCCTGGATGTTTTTACATTTTAAATACTAAAGATGTGGCATTATGTTCTCACCAGGTCTGTTATAACGTCTAACCTTTTCATTTTTCAATAGGAGAGACTGGGACTTCTTGTCAAGGGCCTAAAATAGGCTTTTTAATTCCCACTCTGACAACTGGTCAACATGTTCAATGTACTGAATCTTTTTTCCTGTGAAAACAGATTTTTTGTAACCAAGGCCGTAAGGTATGTGTCTGTAGAGAAATTGCCTTGTAAAAACAAAACAACCTTGAGAAATATTCACTGTAGATATGACAGCTAGTGCCAGTCTCCCCTATTATTATATCAAACAAAGCTCCTAATGCAAGTTTGGGAGGAGCCTGTTCAGTTAATCCGCTAATCACATAGCTAAGATATAAATAGCTGTTTATTTCACTCTTTTTTCCAAGCGTCCCTCCCCCATATCAACTCCACCTTGATTTCCATAATGAGGTCCAGGGGGGAACACGGAGATCCAGTCTATTCAGATCAACACCACCAAACCTATGTTCTTCTCCGTCACAGAATATATGAACTTGTATTTATATATTCTGAGATGATGCTTAATAATTCTTGTTTTGTATCTCAGAAAGAGAACGAGTGCCCGACTATACAAACTCAGATACGCATGTTGAGAATTGTGGTTATGAACATACTGTGAGCGGTTAAGGGACATGTTAGCATGCTGTGTGATGTTCTCAGGTTTAGAGAGGTCATTATCAGGTCCACAGGAGATGTGCTGAGGTCAGTATCACCTGCTTCTCCACTACCTGAGAGCAAAGAGAGAAAAACACGACTCAGAATAATGACGTAAAACCAAAACGCTACCAAGGTCATATCAAACATCATATCATGAATTTAAACCTTATGTGAGGAAAACGGATTTTGCTGGAGAACAAAAGACGAGTAGCTCCAAACTTAATGCTCTAACAACATGAAGATTTATTTCTGTTTACAACAAAGATACATTTGTACAGTATGAAGATTTTGTAACAACCTAGATTCTTTAAAAATATATATATTTTTGCCCTTGAGAGATAAGTATCTCATTCTGTCAGCAGGGCGCTGGAGAAACAATATTAAATGGTAAAATTCCAATTAAGGTTGTTTTATGCTTCAGAGCATGTTTTACAATAACGACATCTTAATTCGCTTTAATATTATGGGTCATTTGCTTATACTCCAAATGCTGAGCTGGAATTGGAAAAGGTTTAGCGTTTGTACCCCGTGCTGTTACTTCACCATCTTTTAGAGAGCAACCCAGAACTGATTTTTAAATAAGACATATGAATGTTACAGTAATACTAATAACAATACTAACATGCAAATCCATGTAAACTGGAATGTAAAGCATCAGCCTGAGCTGATTCTGAAGCAATAATCATTGCTGCTGTATTTCACCCAGATTATTCCTGCCATGCTTCTCCAGCCCAGATATAACATTTAACCTGAGCCACATGATGTACTCAACGTAATATAACAAACAAACGCAGCCCTGATGTCACTGCATGCCTCTGCAGCACAGCAATAAGAGTCATTAAATTCAGAGAATGCACTTTTTCATCGTGAGAGAAAATGAGAATGAGGATTGTACAGAGTTGATTTGTTTAAGAAGAAATGCGCAGCCTTTAGACACTAGCATGGTTTACTCGCAGAGATTCGTTACCATCTGATCGTGACCGATTTGATCAAATACGCCAAAAGCATGGCTTGATTTGCACTTAAAATAAGGTTAAGACATGCATGGTAAATACAAAGGAAAATTGAATAAATTACCATTAAAAAGAAAGTACTCATCTACTGCACGAGTATTTAATCTCTTGCCTCTTACCCCATAGAGCTAATGGATTCACTCTTTGTAGCAGACCTGTCTGACTCTTGGTGAGTGAGTTCAAATTTGCATTTGGCGAGGGGAAATGAATCCTCGCAGATCTTAGACTCACTTTAGGGTGTTTGTATAGTTTTTTCAGACTTGAGAAAAATTGGCCACTACATGATTAGAGACCAGACACCAGTCCATGATTAAGAAACTTTTCTATGGTCAGATTTATTTCACAAAAGCCTAAAAGAGGAAATACCCCATTTAATCCCCAAATCAAAAGAAACCATTTGTATTCATAGTTGTCCTGATATTAAAATAAAATGAACATTAATTAAATATAAAATCTTACATTTAACTTATTATTATTTATTATTATTATTAGAGTACTGAGAATTGAACATGATAAATTTAATGTAAAAATATAAAAACACCAATATAAAATCTTAAAGCACATATTTTATTTCTACAAAATAAAAATTAAAAATTTCCTTTTGAATTTGGGGTGAAATATGTACTGAACATGTTCATGTCAGACTTTGTGAAATTCACCCAAACATGCTATCGCACACACACATAGCATATCAGTTTGTGTGTTGGTGCATATATGTGTTTGAACAGAAATGATGTTATAGTATTTTTGGAGTCCTTAACACTGATAGTGAAGTTCAAACGGAGCTGTGCAGTTCTATCACACTGCAGGGTTTGGAAGAACAAACACGTCTGTCTGCTAACAGAGGTCCTTCGAAGGGTCGTTCTTTAAAAACAGCCCTAATTAAACTTCAGATGTATTCAGCAGACAGCATGGTCATTATCCACTGACTGAAACCTCACTGAAATCATTTCTCCACATGGAAATTACTACTGTAAAGCACAAAGACAAAATTTGTAAAATTGCTGTAAAATATTATTTATGATAATAAAATATTTTGATAATAAATTATTTTTGCTCACTCTCTTTACTTGATTGCTGTCATTTTATGCATTTCTCTTTGAGTACATTAAAGATACTTATGAAAGCACATTAGCTTTGAAGTCAGCATGAAATCAAAATTGGCCCAATTTAATACGACTCAAAAGTATAAAATTGTCCATAATAACTATTTAATAATGACCAACAGATATTTACACATTGCTTAAGCAAAATTGCTTTCATTTCTAGCTCCATTATGGTAAGTAACGCCCACTTTACATCATCCAATCAAACTCCCAATAAACGAAATTAAATCCAGCCCTATATTTGATCTCATTAAATATTCAAATTCACTAAATACACTAATACACCACATTACAGGGTGTAAATGACCATTCATGCTGACTTTAAGGAGAGAGAAAGACTGAGCTGGTTACATTTTGAACTGTGCAATTATGTACACTTTGAAGACTGTGTAATGCTACATACTAATTAACATTCATTAATAGCAGAGTGACCTGTGTTGATAAACACACACACACACACACACACACGTCTGGTCAACTATCCTTGTGGGGACTCTCCATAGGCGTAATGGTTTTTCTACTGTACAGACCGTATATTCTATTGCCCTACACCAACCCTACCCCTAAACCTACCCCTCACAGGAAACTTTGTGCATTTTTAGATTTTCAAAAAACTTAATTCTGTGTGATTTATTAGCTTGTTTACCCGTGTGGACCTCAATTTAGGTCCCCACCGTGACACGAGTCCCCATGAGTCTGTGTGTATTCAGGTTTAAGTCCCCACCAGAATAGAAAAACAGGTACACACACACACACACACACCTGTGTAATGCTACATACTAATTAACATTCATTAATAGCAGAGTGACCTGTGTTGAGACACACACACACACACACAAGGACCTGTGTAACATGTGATGTCAGTAAGTAATTTCAGTATGACTTACAGAAAGGGCAGGTCACACATGACCTCTGCCATACCATCTACTAAAATATCATCATATCACAGAGAAGAGATGGAGAGAGAGACCGCAGTCATAGCAATATTAAAAATGTGTGTACCTTTAATTATTTTTAATATATATTTTTATATTTAATTTAGATCTACTTTATTTTCATTGTATTTTACTTTTTTATTTTGCATTTTTAAAAATTCTCATTGCTTTTATGCTGCAATGTCAATATGGCTGTTTTTATTCATATGGTAATGCAAATATACAGTTTTATCTTGCCAATAAAGAACACTAAAATTGAAATGAAGAGAGAGAGAGATTTTTGTGAAGGGATTATGAATGATTAATCTGATGCTGATAAAGGTACGCTGCAGAGATAAAGCTCTTTAAAGTGTAATCCCCCTATAATACTGAAACACACACATGTCGTACCTCTCTCTAATAAAGGAGAAACTCCAGGCTAGCAGATCACTGATCTAATTAACCACATAGAGCAGCTTGAGCTGTTAGTAAGAAGATAGAAGTAGGTATACACAAGGAGAATGAGAGAATGTACGAGATGGAGAGATCAGGACAAGAAAGATCAGAGGGACAAAATGAATGAGAGGATGGAAATCTACACAGATGGAGGGACGAGGGAGAGAGAGAGAGCAATGGTCAGGCTATATCCTGGCCGCTGATCAGAGACATGTGTCACCATCAGTGTTCAGACAAACTCATAAATAAAGCAGCGACAGGATTAACCATCAAACACACACCTGAAGCACTCACACCATTTCATTTCCACACACAGACACGCTGGTCAAATACAGCATTACTACTATACAAACACGTGATATTGTAGGAGTAGATAGGAACGCTGGTTGTGCACATTGTGATTGGTCCAAACTATGGTAAAACTGTAAATACCATAGTGTTTTCTGTGAGAAACTTTGCCTTCCCATGATTCTGCACTGAGGAGTGTTGTCATCTCATGTCCCACTCAATACCAACTTGAGCAAAGCAATAGAGAAAAGCAACCACTGGAACGGCCACAGAAGACCAGCCTGTTGGAGAAATAAGAGAAGAGAGAAGTTTGAATGGTAAAATACAAAGATACGTAGAAAGCATACTTAAAATTGTGGTTTGAATTATTAAGTCTACAAACTAGATAATACACAGACACCAAACAGGAAGTGAGGCTGTATCTGGATCTGTCAATGGCCTTAAGGCATTTGAGCAGGACTTGAACAGATAATACAGGTCGCCAGAAAAAAAGAAGGATGAAACATTTAGGATCTCATGTGTTAGTTAAACAATATCCAATAATATTTTTAGCCCAAAACAAAACAAAAACATTTTTAATAGAACACAATACAACACCTCTGAATATGCATCTTTAATCACACATCATGTAAACAGCCAGTCAGTAAATAGACTGATGTAAGTTTCACAAACCTAATATCACAGTAACGGTTCCCATATAATGAATTGGACATAACTTACAATTAGTGTTGCTTTCGTCAACGAAAATTATGACTAAATATCGTCGTCAACGAATCTTTATCACGTGACGAAAACGAGACGAGACGCAAAGTTAAATTATAATGTATAATAATTAAATGTATAATGCAATATTGTTAACGAATAAAAACGAGACTAAATGTGGTTTACAAAATAAAAACTATGCTAAAATGTCTCTTAATTTTCGTTGACCAAAACGAGACGAAACAAAATGTTATAACGTTATTTCGTCTCGTTTAGTCGCGTTATTATTATTATTTTGCAGTATTTCTCACTTCAGGGGCTGCATCAGGTCGCACTGCGCAGACGCAGGCGACACCACTTCCTCAAGCCCCACTCGATATTTGAGATATGAGATATAACATATGTGATTTTTTTTTGGTGTTATAAAACAAAGCATTTGGGTGTTTGTGTGTTTTTTTGTGCTTGTCCTTGTTCGTTGTCGTTTTTTTTCTTTCTATGAAGATCTGGCAACACTGACACTTTACCACAGGGCTCATGAGCGCAACTATAGCCCCGTGTCAAAATGTGCTAAGGTTAAGATTTCTTTCACTGTTATTTTCTTGCATCTCACATACAGATGAAGACACATTTTTGATGCATGTTTAAATACTCTCGTTTACACTCATTTATTGATCTCTTTATTGAATAATTACTTCTAATTAATAAATATTCGAGAGTAAATATTGTGATTTCAGAGAGATTTGACAAGTATAATTGAAAAGAACATGATATTAACCGAGAAGTTTTTGTTTACGGACCAAAAGAGAGAAGCACGCATCGTTAATTCAGTGGTAAGAAATGAATGTAATAAGTCAAATAAATGTTATTAATTTTTAATGTCTGTAAAAATAAAATTCACATTTTAAAAACCCAATATTTTGTTGAAGTAATTGTTATTTGGTGCTTAAGAAACTTAATATCTGGGTTATTTGGTACATGGTAGTTATAATAAAGAAATCTTACATATTAACGGATAATTCAATCTCATTTAATGCTCCTTATGATGGTTAAATGTGCTCTGAGTATCTTTAATGATTAAACAATAGTTTAAAACAAGACATGGTTTGTAGTACTGATTATTGAGGTCCATATCTGCCCATCTTCCATGCCGCTTATACTCTACGGGACTTGGGACGGGAGTGCTGGATCATTACTGACGTACAGCAGCGGTATCGGAGTAAAGAGGTTAGGAGAACATTCTGGGAACCTTCAGAGAACTTTCTGGGACCTTCTAGGAACGTAAATAGAACATTCCCTTTAGGTTAGGAGAACGTTCTGGGAACCTTCTAGGAATGTAAATAGTACGTTCCCTTTAGGTTAGGGGAACGTTCCAGGAACCTACCGAGAACATTCCCGGAACTTTCCCCTAACCTAAAGGGAATGTTCTATTTACGTTAAGAAAACTTTCCTGGCTAACCAAAAAGGAACGGGGAACCAAAAACTAACATTCCCAGAACGTTCTGGGAACCAAAAATTGTTAGCTGGGTGCGTAGAATTTCTGTAAATGCGGTTGTCACTACCTGTATTTTTCGGGAGTTAATGCAGTTGTCAAATGCGGTTGTCACTCCCGTATTTTAGTGAATTATGTGTGTACAGAACGCGATTAAGGAGTAAAAAGTGAACTGACAACCGAATTTAGCTGCAGTGTGTACGTGGCCATTGATTGTCTTTGAACACATTTGCAATATATTTAATCACAGTCTGTAGCTCTGCAATTTTAACACTTACACATACACAAAACACACTTAAGTTTGGTGCTTTCCTGTACAGAATCACTAGCTGTGCTTACTAGAATTTACCGCAGTATCCAGTGATAATTTCCCCCATGTGAGCTCTGATTTAGAACCTCACGCAGATTAACTGATATAACGTGAAATCTTATTAGATCACAGGGGAATATTCACTCATTATCTCATTGACATTCTTTCGCCCCCCTGCAGTCAGTAAATGAACAGCAGTGTAAGACACACCTTTTCCCAGAGCAGAACTTCATGCACTTAGCTATAGGCTATATCTGCTCCTCTCAAGTACTTATGTATGTTACAGAAGTACTTGTATTACATTCTCTCTTGGATTAATTGCTCCTGTTTGTGTTATGCTCATTTGTGGCTGTTGATCAAAACAGATGCATAAACATATTACTACATGAATCAATGTTATACCTTATTTTCACATTATTGTTAAAGTATTATTTTTATACAAGTAATTTCCAATTATTATCAATGTTATGTATACATAATCACAGTTCCTCCTCAACATGTCCACTAAGAGCCCCAAGCTGTTAAAACACTCTAGACAGGTGTGCGTGTTTGTCTCTGGTGGGTTCATTAAAAGGAACTGCCTTGTTGCATCAGGGATGAGAAAAGAAGGATGGAGCAGGATGAAAACGAGAGTAAATGAAAGAAGGAAGGGTGCTGATTACATTTGGTTACACCTCATTGTCCTTCAGGTGCTGGAGTCACAGCTTTAGCCACTTAATGCATTTTGTCATGCCAACAACACAAAACACTGCAATGTAGCAGAAAGACTACAAAAAAGTCAGACAGAAAAGAAGCTCAGAGGTAGTGTGTGTTATGTCTCATTTTGCCTGTATAAGACTACAGATCAGTGTTTTCTGAACTTTGTCCTCATCCAGCTACACACAAATCCTCTCAACATGACTCAACTTGCGTCACACCAAACCCACCTACATAAGGAACAGAGACACGTCAACACACACACTTACAGAAGCAAGAAGAAGAACAGTTGATTGTTATATCATAGGAGACTCTTCCGAAACACTTGCTTAAAAATAAAATAAACACAGTCCTTCTGTGCGTGAAAGGACATATAGACATATAAAGGACATATATAACTAAATGTAGTCACTCATCATTTAAATATATTTTTTAAAAATTATATGCTAAATAGACATACTAAGGTATGAACCGAATTTTTTAATTCTTGCCTGTACCAATAAGTCGAGAATCATTTCAATGTTATGGCCAAAAACTTTCAAAAATAAAAAATAAAACTTTAATAAAAATTAAAAAAAAAAATTAACATAACTGACCGATGAGCTGATAATTTTTTTCATTTTATGGCCAAAAACTGATGAAATGGCAAATATTAAAATTATTCAGTATTTTGTCTAAATAAAATAAAAATAATCACTAAAAAGTACTAACATTGTGAGTGTTACAAGTAAATAATAATGCAATAATGTAAATTACAATAATATGATTATAAAATTATAATGTACAGTAAGAATAATTGATTGATTGATTAATTTCAATTAGCTAAATATTAGATTTACCAGTATTATTAAATTAATAATATTAATAAATTATTATTGTTTTTATGATTTTATGAAATTATTCAAGTATCCAATGTCAGCCTATATATACATATATATATATAATATATAATATATATATATATATACACAGTGTTGCTTGAAAGTTTGTGAAACCTTGAGAATTTTCTGTATACTATTTAAACTATACAGTGCTGCTTGAAAGTTTGTGAACCCTTTAGAATTTTCTATATTTCTGCATAAATATGACCCAAGACATAATTAGATTTTCACACAAATCCTGAAAGTAGACAAAGAGAATCCAATCAAACAAAGGAGACAAAAATATATACTTTGTCATTTATTTATTGAGAAAAATGACTGAAAAATTATATTTTTCATTTTGATATTTGATATTTGTACTAGGGTACTAGACAACCCCTAGTACATCCCTACAACTTATTTTATTTATTCTATTCCTATTCCATCTATAGCACACCTGTACATACAATTTATTCTTTTTTTGTGGTTTATATTTATGCATGTGTATTTTATTCACATCTCATTTTTATTATCTGTGTGTTGTTGTTGTCT